GCATACACAAACACACACAAGCAAACACACACACAAACTTATACACACACACAAGCATACACAAACACACACAAGCAAACACACACACAAACTTATACACACACACAAGCATACACAAACACACACATACACATACACATTCACACAAACACATGCATATACACAAAAACACATGCAAGCAAACACATATATACACACACATGCACACACAAATACACACAAGCAAACACACACACACAAGCTTATACAAACACACATACACATAAACACACATTCACACACACATGCACAAACACACACAAGCAAACACACACACACACATACACACAAACACAAATACACACCTACACACAGACACAAATACATGCACACACAAACACACACATACACTCACACAAACGAACACACACACACACACACAAACACACGCATAGACAACACACACACAGACTCTGGGTTAAAGAGAGGCCCCAGTGTTTACATTTCAGCTTCTGCCTCCGGAAGCGGCCCAGCTGCTCTTCGTCCATACTCAACTCGATGGGCCGGAAGTTGGACATGATGGTCAGGAAGTCCTCGAAGTTGATCTCCTCCACAAAGCCCCCCGAGGCTCCTCGCAGGTTCCTGGGAAGCGGAGAAGAAACTCGGGGTTGGCTGGTTGCTTGACCGCGATCGGTCACTCCTGGCGCCAAGCCAGCTCGCGAAGTCTGGGCTGCAAACCTAGCGGCGAGGCGGCTTATTCGAAGGGCATCGCAGGGGATAAGGGCCCCAATGGAGTCCAACATTTATGCTTGCTAAGTGAGGCTCTTGTTAAGCGAGCTTTGCCCCCATTTCACGACCGTTGTGAAACGAATCACTGCAGTTGTTAGGCGAGTCACACGGATGTCGGGTGAATCTGTCCCCCCCCCCCTCGTTGAATCTGAAGATCGCAAAAGGGGATCACGCGGGATTCTGGAACACGGCCACCGTCATAAATGTGGAACGGCTGCCAAGCACGTGAATTTGGATGCTTGACAACTGACTCACATTTATGACGGCTGCAGTGTCCAGGTTGCGACCTTCTGAGGAGCAAAGTCAATGGGAGGAGCCGGATTCACACAACAGCCGTGGGACTGACTTTTAACAATTGCGTGGATTCGCTTAGCAACTGCAGCAGGGAAGTTCGTAAGGGGGCAAAATGCACTTAACAATGCATGTCTCACTTAGCAACAGACGTTTTGGGCTCAATTGTGGTTGTAAGTCAAGGACTGTAGAGCCGAGGTGGCGCAGTGGTTAAATTCAGCACTGCAGTTCAGCAGTTTGGCTGTTCAAATCCCACCAGGCTCAAGGTTGACTCAGCCTTCCANGCTATAACTTGCGGAGCTGGAGAAAGAGAGGCAAGGGAGCCGCTGAACCAGCTGCGGGGACGTCCGGAGGAGGACTCGGAGTCTCTCCGGCTCCCTGCCCGCACCTGCCATTGGAGAAATGGCGCGATCTTGGCTGCATGTCCGGCCCTGGTTCCCCTGAGGAGCCAGTCGGTCCCCTTCCCCGACCCGCTCAGTGGCGGCTGAGACGAGTTGCGGCTCTGAGAAAAGTTTTTGAGAGAAACGGAGCTTGACAATCGATGGCATGGGGCGTGGGGTGGGGGAGAGCAGCATGGAGCTTGCCAGCCCCACAATCCTTTGCCTCGGATGCGTCCTAGAGTAAGGTGACCAAAAAAAAATTGGGACTTTTTAAAAACACCGCAGGACATGGGACAAATTGTTCAAAAGCGGGACGTCTGGTAACCTTAAGGTGGGGCCCTTTGTGGAAGACAGGGAGGCCATCAATTTTGGCTACTGACCAATTCAGTGACCGCTATTGGTTAATTTCTAGGATCCGTAGAACCAGAAAATACAGCGGGAAGAGGCCCTTTTGATTCGTGAGTGGGTTTAAGTGGGAAATAAGGGGTGGCATGATGTCAGGAGGCAGAGAGTGGAATGGGGGTATATGCTGTGAGGGGAGATAATGAATGCCTGGACCTCAACAAGCCGAGCAGCTGTGAGGGCTGAAGAGATGGCATCCTGAGTAATCCTATGAACCAAGAGCAGAAAGAGTTAACATTGCTCCTTCCTCCTGGCTCCGAATAGCCTCTGACAGCTCAGGGCGGCAGGGCTATTTAGGTCTTGTGGCTACTACCTGGGAGAATGCAAAGAGGAGGAGAATCAGGAACTTCTGACTGCTAGTTGTCAGGCTCCATTCTGGAGGCATGGATAAACAGGGTGATCCACCTCACCCTGCAGGGATCTTGCTGGGTAATTGTCAGTGATTCAGCTTCTCTGAAATGGCTCCGCTTAAAATGACACGGGCTTTTCTTCTTCCGCTTGCTGGAAAAAAGCCGTTTCAAACTGTGATTTGAAAGGTAACAGAAGTGGCTCCAGGACAGGACAGGCACGAGCTGTCATCACTTTGTAGTTAGGAAATGGCTGCAGAGCCCCTGTGCTCCATTCTTTAGACTTGAGCTATGTGTAGCTTCACTGGGATTCTGCTTTGCTGGGAAAACTTTATTCAGTGTCTTTTATAAATACTTCTCAGATTGGCTTCACTTCAGGGTGGGAGAGCTTGTTGGCCTGGAATATCTTGGTGTCTGTGCACACTGTGTGTGGATTGTAAGAGGCTTATTTCTTTGGCTTTGGAGGACTATAAACAGTGGTGGGTTCGGCCGAACCAGTAGTAGTTTGGCGGCCTGGGTCATTGGAACTGGCAGCGACCCAGGCCTGCCATGCCCCTGAACTGGTTCCCTGGTTGGCGGCATCAGCTGCACCATCTTGTTTTTCAGTTCTCTGCATGCACAGAACAATTTTAATCGCACTGCGCATGCACGCACAGAGTGCATCAAGTGCACACATGAGCAAACCAGCAGTAGTTCCGGCCGAAACCCCCCCCCCCCGACCTACAAATGCCCCCTAATACATCTCCTGCTCTCTTCTGTCTTGTACAACAATCTCTGTCCCACCTCCTTTCCACTCTCCAAGGAGAGTTTTCTATATCCCCTCCTTGCTTCTCCTTTCATATCTCTTAACCGTCATCATCCTCTCTGGAGTTCTGAGTCAATTCCTAGGCCTGCTCCTGGGAAAGGACCAGCTGTGATTGCCAAGCAGAACCAAAAAGTGACTGAGTCCGATGATTATTTACTGGCTGCTGCCATCTATCTCCCTCCTCCCTTACTCAACAGAGGAATCCACAGCTGTTCCAAACTGGGAGAGGAGAAGGAGGGGGCTGTTGGATGATGATGTCAAGACTCAGGGATACAAATAGGCAGAGCTCCGGCTGTCGTCCCAATTCTGTCTTCTCACCCAGAACAGCTGCTGCCTTCCTGCCTGTCCCACTGAGCTGCCGCCACCATGAGCTTCTCCACCCAGAGGGTCTCCTCGTACCGCCGTACTTTCGGCGGTGGGGCAGCCACTCCTTCCTTCCCATCCCCTTCTTTCCCAAGGGCTTCCTTCGGCACCAAGGGTTCTTCTGCCAGCTCCATCTCCTCTCGGGTATACCAAGTGTCCCGTAGTGCCGCAGTGCCCACCCTTTCTAGCTTCCGCGCATCCTACTCGGCCCCAATGCGTTCGGCCTATCAAGGTGCCGGCGAGGTCCTCGACTTTTCCCTAGCTGATGCCATGAACCAGGAATTCCTGCAAACCCGTACGAATGAGAAAGTGGAGCTGCAGGAGCTCAATGACCGCTTCGCCAATTACATTGAGAAGGTCCGTTTCCTGGAGCAGCAGAATGCCCTCATGGTGGCTGAAGTCAACCGACTCAAGGGCAAGGAGCCCACGCGCATCGCAGAGATGTATGAGGAAGAGCTGAGGGAACTGAGACGGCAGGTGGAGCTGCTGACTAATCAGCGAGCGCGGGTGGATGTGGAGAGGGACAACCTGATAGATGATCTCCAGAAGCTGAAGCAGAGGTGAGACTGAGACCCATGATTTGCTACCATATTGTTGTTTTTTCTCTAAGTTCATTCCTATTTACGTTGATCTGTAAATTTAAAGTTTCTTCCTAGTCATGAACAGGTACAATACTTCCTAGAGCAGAGATGGAGGAAACAGGAAAGGGTAATGCAAATCACAGCCAGAGAGAGTGGTCTTCCAATTCTGACCTTCCAAATAGCAATGCAAAACTCTCTCATCAAATGTCATATTTGCCAGGCCCTGGGTAAACTGGCACTGTGCAACTTTCACCTTGAAGTTGCAAATGTCTTGTGCTCTAACCTGAAATTGCCATCAGAATTAGTAAGAGATATTCTGTCTCACTGGGAACCAACAATATGTACTCTTTGAATAAGGCTCAGAATGTGTCCAATGACGTTCCTCTCCTGATAAACATGTCCATCTTTAGAAAATTAAGAAAGCTTTTGAGGGTTAAAATGATCATCCAGACTAAAAAGGCTAGCACAGTATTTACAGTCTGCTGAGAAAATATTTGTGAGGTTTATTTTGGCACAGGGATGTGTGCTGGTTAAGAAATCAGTAGTAAGGTCACCAATCCCTGCCTTTTTAGAAAAAAATAGATTAAAAGACTAAATTATACTTGTCAAACATCTTTTTTGGGATTTGGACCTCATGGAAAATTACACATGTAATTTTCTTTATGCAGGGAGTGGATGATTCTTCCTTATCAAACACTGGCGTTCTTTTTCTAACGAGGGGTATCTTTAGTTTAATTCCATACCAGTTAGGTCTGCTTTTTCCGTTTGAGTTGTACAGGGGATTGGGTGGGGGGTGGGAGGTGTAATACTCTAAACAATTGTTTGCAAGTTCTTGTCAGATCAACTCTTGACTTCTTATGGTAGGGTGAGGATGACTTTTGGTTGCCTCTTTCCATGAGGTAGCTCTGATTTTTCCCCCCTCATGATGTAAATTGTCTATTTATGTCCCAACTAAGTCCTTGTTTAACTCAGGATATATGTGCCACAAGCATACAATGATGATCTATTTCTAGGAGTTTTAAAAGAGTTGAAATAAAGAAAAATGATATCCTGAAGATTAGAAAGAAGGTGGATTTAAAACTTTAAAATTAATTAGTTCCATGTGAGAGCCGGAAACCAATTTCCTTCTGGGGTTGCACATTAAATATATTAGTGGTTTAGTAATAAAATCCTTTTTCTACAGTGACTTCGTTGTACATTTTAAAAATGTACATTGAAGAGCTGATGCAAGTGCAGGTGTCAAGATACCATATTATCCAGCACATCTTCCAAGTCTATAAATCTTTGTTCTAGAACTTTTCTTCTAGTCATGAGGGGGTGGGTGGGAATCCAGTTTCAGTTTATTAGGAAACGTGATTCCCAGTAAGTCATCTAATGGTGGGCTTCACTGTATGTCAGCAAATTCTTCTTAACCCCCTGCAGTTTGTACCAGTATAGTAACAGTTTTTGCAGCCCTAATGATCATCACTTGGCTTGACTTATGTAATAGCTGGGTTCATAAATCATGCTAAGTCACGGTTTCCTTTCTCTGTAGGGTTCAGTAGTTGGGTTCACAGGATGTGCCCTGGCACACCTTGTACAAGCAATGGAACAGGATAATGCTAGAACAGCAGGAGAGAGATGAAAACAATTCAACAATTTGGAGGAAAAATGGTCTATTCATTAGGAGAGCTTCTGGAAGGATAATCCCTAGGCTCTTACTCTGTGGCCAATCCTCTTGGAGGCTTTCTTTTTTTCCTCCAGATTTAACTCCCTTGTGATTGACAGGACACAAGTGGACCCTGCTAGAAGAAGGCAACAGCCAGAGAGCAAGGCAGAGCATGTTGACAGGAAGTACATATAGATAAGAGAAGGGAAATTCAGACAAAGAAATCAAGGGGCCAAAGTCTTTCAATCAGATATTTATTTTATTCATTAATTAATTTATTAAGCCTCCCATCTCATTATCGAAAGTGAGCCTGAGTAGCTTACAGGACAATAAAAACATAAATATATCATTTGAATGATGTCCTGGAACTGTGAGCAGATATGCACTGAATTTGGGAATCATCATTTTAATTGTTGGTTCTTTATAGCACACACCAACTGTGATATTTGGCTTGAGTGTTTAGCACTATGGAAAATTAAAAAAAGAACTTCCTTTCTAGTTTGGGTTGTAGCAAATTGAAGGTCCCAGACTTATAGCAATATAGCAAATGGTATCCATTATCCTTTTCTTGTGCTCTTTCCCCCCAAACCACATAAAAAGGAATGGAAACAGCCTTTCCTAACTTGGGGACCTTATGATTTGGGGAACCATATCTCACCAGCATCCACGCCAACATCTGGAGGCATGAGATAGGGTCAAGTTGATGAAAGAGTTCCTAAATGGAAGACTGCCTATGCAAGCCTTATCACTAGATGACAACAGCTGGAAGTAACAGCTGTTGTAATTGTAGGCACCTATCTGGTTTAAAATATCAGGAACTTGAACAATTTAGAACTGAAGATTTGTGGGTGCTGTGTTTATAAACACAAAAATATACAAATATGGATACAATAGTTGAGAATATGGAAACTAGAACTCCAGGGCCATGATTCACTAACTTTAGTGTACAAATCCTGAAGCTGAATCTTTCCCAATCTCAAACCCCATAGAAATATTAGGTTACAGCTTCAATTTCTTCAGCCACTCTGAACAATGACTGTCCTGCTGATTGTGATAAGACTTTATAATCCCACATTCTGAATATCCTCTGTGTGAGGGGGGGAAATGGACTTGGGTGATGCTACACTAATCCCATGTCAAAATACCCGGAAGACAAGAGTTTCAGCATCTTAGTAGCCTGTCTGTTTCCCAACACCCTATATATCTTTCATATTGGGTCATCTCCAGAATCCCAGGCTGAGGGGCGTCCCAAGAGTTTTCATGCTGCTTCTTTGTAAGCTTCCAGCTCCTGCTCCAGCTTCTCTCATTAGAGCAAAGCTGTGCTACCCTAAAAGGGAAGGGGGAGTAAGCATTATCCATCAGTGAGCTCATGCCTTTGTGCTTAAGGCTTTGACTAAAACAGGCAATGAGAGGACATGTTCTTGCTCCATTCTCAGCCTGGCCACCAGCCAGATCCCACCCCTTCCCCTTGGAATGCAGGAGAATTGCCCGTTCCTGATGTATATCTTACTAGAGTGGCTGGGGAGTGTGTCAGAGGTTTAGGGCGAAGCACTGGCCTTGACTTCTAAAGCATGAGAGAAAGGCAATGCTGTTTATAGACCATTGAGTGATTTTCCAGTCTGCCCAATGCTCACTTTTCTGCCCTTTTTCAAAGGTTGCAAGAGGAAATCCATCTTAAAGAAGAAGCAGAAAACAACTTAGCTGCTTTCAGAGCTGTAAGTCCAAAATGTTTCCTCCAGGGTGTCTTGGAAAATGAGGAAAAGATTTGTAAAATAGCACAAAGGGAAAATATCAATTGGCATATTTAAAAGTGCCTGCTTAGCTTTCTTTTGCCCCTTTGTTCCTGGGAAGGCATACTGTGTGTGTGTGTCTCTCTCTCTCCCACCCCCACCCCTTTAGCACTTTCTCAGATCTTTTCCAAAGTGGTAGACAATTGGTATTTCAATTCCTAAATATAAGCAATTATTAGGATTACGATTAAGACAAGATTGCTGGAGAACATCAAGTTGCCAGCCTTCTATAGCCCCCTTTTTGAATAATTGCAACACCCCTTACTCTTTTGTCTACAACGTTGTGTGTGCAACCTTAAGTGTATATGAACTTTATCGTTCTGCTAGAATATTTAGAATATTCCAAATTATCTGATGTTTTGAGTCATTCATAATAGGATCAATATCAGTGCTGGGATTCAAAAAAAATTACTACAGGTTCTGTGGGCATGGCTTGATTGGCGTGCTTCGTGGGTGTGGCAGGGGAAGGATACTGTAAAATCCCCATTCCCTCCCAATCAGCTGGGACTCGGGAGGCAGAGAATAAATGGGGGTGGGGCCAGTCAGATGACGCATTTACCGATTCTCCGAACAACTCAAAATTTCCGCTACCGGTTCTCCAGAACTGGTCAGAACCTGCTGAATACCACCTCTGATCTATAGGCCACAGGGAGTGGTTTAAGTGCTCCTTCAGGGATACATACAATACAATGGAGCAGCATTTGTCCTCCATTTCAAGGAATTTGGATTTGAGATTCAGGCAATTGCCCCACCATTGTTATGATTGCCAGAATCTGGAGTGATGCTAGAAAATTTTAGTTGTCCTTTTGTTCAAGGATCATGTGAATCGGTTCAGTTGGGGTCCTTCCCACTCATTTCCTGGGCTTCCAGAACTTCCAGTATTGTTTTCATTGGCCAGATTCCCAGATGTTGTCAGTCAAAAATCAGAGGGGCGCAACCGCTCAGCCTTTTCAGGAGTTAAATGGCAATTAAGATCATTTCCCTGTTCTGTGAAGTTGTGCTCTTTTAATGGGGACCAACCTCTTGAGTCTATTATTACTGCTGAGGTCATGCTCCTCTTTTCTCTGCCGTTACAGGATGTTGACGCAGCCACTCTGGCCCGTATTGACTTGGAGAGGCGTATTGAATCATTGCAGGAAGAAATTGCTTTCCTCAAAAAAGTACATGAAGAAGTAAGCAGCTGTCTTGTACACGTGTCTTAGTACTTCTCAAAAGGATGGCTTCTAGAATGGAAGGAAGGGTGGGGCTGTTGAAGGGGATGCTGAGGATCAAGCCCAGAATTTAAGCTATAACAGCAGCTTTAATTGGGGGGAAAAGGAAGATGGTATCAAGTATCAAAGGTTTCATGTCATCAGGCCAACCTTCTCCTACTAGTTTGCATCACATTTTCGGTACGACGGCACAAAGTTTCCTAACGTGTTGGGCAAACCCTACCAACACGTGATGTAAACCAAGGTAGTATTATTCGTTTTGGGTTCTGTAAGAGATGGTGCCTATGGAGCAGGAGTTGATGTGATTGACTACTGTACAGTGAAGCAGCAGTTTCCCAAGGAGGAGGGAGCACATTTCAAAAAGGGTGGTAGTGGGGAGACAAAAAGCAGCACAGCTGGGAGCTGGATAGGAGACAGAGAAAAAGAATAAGGCTAGCCACTTGCTAGAATCTCCCAGGGTGTATCAATTAAGGCGAAAGTAGTAAGGGTTTAGTCTGTCAAGATTCTGTCTACGGTGTGTAAGCAAATAAAGAAGTGAACTCTGTCGGAATGTCCTCCTTGGGTTTAGCCTAATAGGTTCAATGTCTTGTGTGAACTCAGGGAACTGGCTTAATTTAGTAACCCAATGATTTAATCCACCACAGATTAGCGTGTTGGGTGAGATCGTTTATAACTTCCTGAAAGATCATGTTGGAGAAGGATTTGTCACACCTGAAAGCCTTCTTTTGCAGTTTGATGGTCCCCAATATTTTTGAGTACAAGAACTTTTGTGCCTAACCAGTATGGATTAGGGAAGGTGGCTAGTAAGCCTCTGCCTACTGCATTGGCGTGATGGCACACTCTTTGTGACTTCTCCAGGAAATTAGAGAATTTCAATCCCAGCTGCAAGAGCAACAAATCCAGGTAGAGATGGATGTGTCGAAGCCAGATCTGACCGCAGCACTGCGTGACATCCGTGCCCAGTATGAGAACATCGCTGCAAAGAACATCTCAGAAGCAGAGGAATGGTACAAATCTAAGGTAGGGAGAATGAGCAGTAGCACTTGGCTAAAAGACTGGGGATGATTAGAGTGAGTTTTCACTCATGGGATTCACTCGAATTAATCTACATTTGTGCTTCATCTGCTCTTCTTCCCTCTATGTACAGGTGACTGACCTGACTCAGGCAGCAAATAAAAACAACGATGCCATTCGCCAAGCCAAGCAGGAGATGATGGAGTACCGGCATCAAATCCAATCATTCACCTGTGAGATTGATGCGCTCAAGGGCACGGTGAGTGAGCTGCCGCGCTGGATTAATCATGGAGTCAAATTCAGAATACTGGACTTGCATTGAACCATTTCAGGGAGGAAAGTTTTTTTCTTCTTCCCTATGCTCATTGATAACAAATGAAGCATGGAAAAAGCAAACTGCCCAGGGAGGGGGCAGCTGTAGTTTTCCAAAGCTGTCAGATGGAGAGGCCATTCATAATCTCTGAGGGAACCTGACAGAAAATCTGTTTAAGTTCCATGGCCAGCTGAAGACCCTCATGTAGGCTGCCTGGTAAAAGCTCAGCCTATGGCCTTGATCAACAACCTCTTATGCCCCTTGAATGGATGGGAGGGGAGAGGGTGTCTTTTTTATATTCAACAAAAAATGCTAGAAATCTCTTCCTTTCTCTCTCCTCACTGCTTTCCTCCTTTTGACTTCCAGAATGAATCTCTGATGAGGCAGATGAGGGAGATGGAGGAGCGCTTTGCTGGTGAGGCCGGCAATTACCAGGACACAATCCAGAGGCTTGAAGAGGAGATCAGGCATTTGAAGGATGAGATGGCACGGCACCTGCGCGAGTACCAGGACCTGCTCAATGTCAAGATGGCTCTTGACGTTGAGATTGCCACTTACCGCAAGCTGCTGGAGGGTGAAGAGAGCAGGTGAGCACGTGTCTTGTAAGGGTAGCTGCTTAAGTCTATTAAGGTTGATAAATGGTTTGTGGGAGGCAGTTTTTCTGATGGAATAATAGCAGGTTTTTACGCTGATTGTGAAGCTTTAGTCTAGCACTGCCACACAATATTCTACTGCAATTCTGGACTGAGATCAGACATCTCACGAGGCCAAAAAGTGGCTTTCTTGGTTTGGTTTATTGTGCGAATTCAACCGTTGCTGTGGCTTTGTGTGTTGAACCTAGCCTGTTTATGTGAGGAAACACTAGTAAAAGAGACGTGGCTTATCACAGAATCTGAACTCTGCCTTTGTGCTTGGGGACAGCAAAAGAATAACTAAGAAGGAAATCCATCCTTCTGTTGTGACAGTTGGGAAAGAAATAGACCAGTGAATCTCTTGCAGTCAAATGTTATTTTTCTCTCTCTTTTGGCTGAGCAGTTTGGACTAGTGGGGCTTCCATTTTGCGATAATGCTGAATGTGCATGGTGATGAAATTTTAGAATTGCAACAGGAAGACTGGAAACCACACTTCAGTATGCAACCCAGAAGAATACAATTAGTTCAAATTTAAGCAGTACTTTTAAAAGGACCATAATGGTTAATGATGGTTGGTTTTTTTGGGGGGGGGGGGCACCGCTCTAAAACATAGGAAATCTGAAAGCAGAAAAGAAAAGAAAGGTTATTTTAACCTCCCTTTCCTTCCCCTTCTTTACAGAATTTCACTGCCCATTCAAACTTTTTCTGCCATCAACTTCCGAGGTAAGTGACATGGATCTGGTCTATGTGGATAAAGGGATCTGTGGGCATGCAAATCACGTGGGATATTTTGTAACGCTAAAGATGGAGCAGAAACAGAGGAAAGCCCCATCCCCAAGGTTCACTTTAGAACGGTGATTCAAAGAAGGATGGAATTACGTGTTTTCATGCCTATCACAATCTGCTCTGCTTATTCCCGAATGAAATGTTTTTGGAAGGAAAATAGGATTTCAAAGGATCACATTTAGAGAAGGGGAGAAAGAGATTGATTTTCAATTAAAGACGGTGCCCCTCCCTGTATGTATTTATATTATTTCTCAAATTTAGAAACCGCCCATCTCACTCACAGAGCCACTTTCTGAGACCATAACCTTCCCTCCCACCTCAGGAGTTCCTGAAATGGGCCTGCAATGACAAATATATCTGAAACCTCACAACTGCAAGGAGATAGGCCAGGTTCAGATCAAAACACACTCAGTCAAAGGAAGGATTATCCATCCCAGTCTACCTTCCACTCCAAACCAGTCTCACCGAAAGCTGTTTTTTCTCTACAGTTAATTCTTATAACGGCTGAAAGGTCATGGCAATCAAGCGTAAATGTTATAGCTGCGGTAATATTAGTTCCAAATTCAAGCTCTGTCTTGATGCTGTGGCCAAACCTAGTACAACTGAAGAACAGCTTGGAAGATCGTTTGACTTTGGCATAAATGCTCATTGTGTTACCTAGACTGTTCAGTTAGGTTGGCAGGAGCCGGTATGAGGTGCATGTCTGTCAGGGACATGGAGCTAACATAATGCCTATTGTTCGAGCTTCCCAAGAGCATGAAGCAAACTTCTAGTCCCGACAAAAACCCTTTTTATTAATTGAATGTGAATTCTGCTCATTCACATCCAGCAAAGTCTTTCAAGGGAGGATTTACAGTCACAGACCTTATGTGGCGTAGAGAGTAGCCAGGCCGATATCTGCAAAACTTGGAAAGGAGTCTCGGAGCGTCACGAACCAATTAAGTGAACAAATTGTTTCCTGCAAACTCCACTCGCCTTTCGCTCTTCTTTTATTTCCTCTGGGAGGGGCCATACATCGTCTACCTGTGGCCTTACTCCCAAGTCGAGCCCTGTTCTTTAGCTGTTCCCTTCATCTAGCAGCTTTGCCCATGTGCACACTGGGAACAGGCTCCAGCTGTTTGTCTGCCTCACCGATGTCTGACTCAGAAGGCAGCTGATAACTGGCATAAGGCTCCGGCCTTCTCTCTACCTCCAACACAGAGCCCTCATCAGAGCCTTCCCCAGACTCCAGGACTGGCCCATGTTGCTTCCCAACCTCCTCACTGTCCG